CTTAATTATGCAGTTGTGCGGGGCTCTGGTAATTTTCACTATCCGGTGTGCACCAACATCACATAATACATGGGCTTCTAGCATTTCGACTTTATCAAAATATGAATACAGTTAAACCCATTTATACGAGGCCTACTCCAGGCAGCAATTCTTTCATTTTATATGAGATGTCTCTGATAAGCAGGGTACCTCGTATGCATTTCTTTATAAACCCATATTTTACTGTACGCACACCGATATCTCTTATACCCATTTGTCTCTTATATCAGTGTCTTTTATAAAAGGGTTTGACTGTACTGCGTCCGGGATTGAAACAGAGATCTGAAGACGGGCCTTGTAAACACCACAGCAGCAAACTATTTTGTGTATAACTAAATCGCAAGTAAGAGCACACAGCAACAAGTGCATGCTGAAAATAGAAAACGAATATAGCCATCCCATTCTGGTATAAGCATCTGATTTGCTTTAATTTTAGCATAGCTAGTAAGTGAATATTCAATTAAAATGATTGCACCAGAAGGCCCCAGACAGTGCCAAGCTGCACTTTTATTATTTCAATCTGAAAGTGGCCCTCATCCATTGCTTTGAAGTTCCATGATGTGGGTGACCCTAGATGCCAGTTGGCTGGAAGCTCCAGGAAGCAGCAATTTCTGACAAGCCCTTGACAGCAGCTTGAAATTATTAGTTGCTATACTTTCCAAACTTCACATGAATTGTTTTTGAAGATAACCTATTAAAGCAATTGTCTGGATCTTACATTGAAATGTGAAGTCATAGTTGCGATATTAGAACAGCCTACCAAAAACCTACCATCAAAGCTGCTTCAATGAAGTAATAAAGAGTAACTTAGTGCTTCCTCATAAACAGACACATGCACAGGCATCACCACAGAGTGACATTAGGTCCAACATATTGTTGGGCATCTCAGCTCCCAGCTGCAAAAAAAAAAAAAAAAAAAAAAAGGCGGCACAGAACCAAGCCAGGACTGTAAGGGAGGATGGTTGCTCCAAGCCAGATTGTTGGTTTCGATGAAGGATGTGTGGCAGGGGGCACTGTCATGGCAGAGCTTGACCGTGTCTTTGATGTCAGACCTCGTGCGTGCAACCCAGCATTTCAATTTTTTTTAGCACTTCTAGTAAGAGGCAGCACTGAGTTTCTCTCTGAAAAACTAACTCAATTTGCAGGAAACTCAATTGACAGTCAGAATGCGTAACTTCATGCACATGATTCACATTTTCATTGTTTCTGGTGGCAGCCGAGCGCCCAGAATGGGGTTCGTCGACGACCTTCTCCCAGCCTTCCTCGAGCGCTTTGTGCCACCTCTCTGACTCTGGTCTTGAAGTGGACTAATCCTTGAAAGCCTCTTAGAACATGTGAAATATGTCGATTTCATTCTTTCCATGCTTCATGCAGAACTTGATAGAGCATGGTTGTTGAAGCCAACAGACTCCATGATGCCGTGTTACAAGGTGGAAAAAAAAAACAATGGACTTGACGGCTCGCCTTTCCACTTACACCACTCGACGTAAACTGGCGACCTAGCTGCTTTGAAAGGGAAGATCCCCACCACATTGCTCAAACAGATTGCAAACCCAGATATTATTGAAAAAATAATGTTACACCACACCATTACTATAAGTCTTGCAGACGGGTCTCGAATTATAAATGTTCTTCTAAAGATGTATTCATAAACTGTTACACAAATTGTGCAAATGTGGCTACTTCCTTGTTTAATATTGTTTTAAGAAGTGTGCATTACTGGTCCTTGTGCACCTTATCGACTGGGAGGAGTGATGGCACCTTCTCAGGCATTACTTTGCCTTTTTTCCAACTCTGTACATACAGAGTTCCTACACAATATTTGGTTGTAAATTCAAGGACTGTTGACAAATTTGAATGATTCAAAAAAGAAAAAATTCAAGGAGTGTAACTTCATATGACTTTTGCAAAAGACTTAAAAAAGAAGCACTGGTTTTGCATCGATGCCTTTTTGCTAAGAGCAGCTACCTGTGCCACTTTTTCTTTAGCTGTTTGGCGAAACCTGTTGGCCTTGATAAGACATGCCACGTTATTTTTAGCTTTGGAGTCTTTCAAAAACTGATCTACTGACGCCAGCAAACATTTGTTTTTTCATTTCGTCTTTTTCTCTTGCAGGTTGTGTAGGTCGAGTTCTCTTCTTTTCAAGCTGTACCACAACTTGTTTTTTCTGTTTTTTTTTTTTCATGTGTAACGCATATTTTGGCTCACTGATGACTTCACTTCCTTCCGCAGTGGAACATTACGCAGCCCACCGTGAATTTTGATGGATACGAAAGCTCTGCCATGTTTTCAACCATGACCAGCTTGTTCACACTGAAACCTAGTTCTACTAAAGTTTGTTCATAGCTAAGCAAGAGAAAAAACTTCAGCACTTCCCATACGGTTGACAATGACAGGCCATGCTTCACAGGGCACACTACAAGAACATCAAGACATTCACGATTTCTTTCATAGTGTGTTCAGTTCATGCAGTTTTTCTAGGCAGAACTAAATATAAAGTGTCCACAATATTTACCTTGTGATTAGAAAGACCCTAGTTTTCAATTAAAAACTGTTAAAAACAACTTTTGGATCCAGCTAACATGTGGACCATACATTTGGGCTGTCCAAATTGCCACATCATTGCAATGTCAACCATCTTCTGAAATTTTGTGCACTTGGCTGGACAAAGTCTTTCGTGCAGCAGCATAATCTTGAAACAAAAAGACACAATGTGCTTTCAATTACATCTGCACGGCCTTAAACTCTGTGGACATGGCTTAGCTTGAGACAGTATGGAGATGGCAAACTATAGCCAGATTTAGGGACCATAGCCCAACCCAATGATATGTCTTGCATTATATTCGATTTACACTACTAGATATTAGTTGACAGTCGCTGTAACGGCTGTGCGATTAAAATCGAAACTCACAAATGCCTTTTAGTCAACACAGCTTGTGCTGGTGGTCATTCGTAAGTGAAAGTGGTCTTCGAACTGTAGCGAGAGAGGAAGACGGGATGGCGGCCAATGTGGTCATGTCGTTGTCTCGCCACTTTATTATGAAAGGCGATTGCCGAAGCCGAGCGGCGGCGGCTGCACCATCCAAACCACCAGGCACGTGAGCACGATCTACCAGCTCCCGCCTCGAGCTGTGGCATGAGCTGCACGAGAGGCGCAGCGCGGTGGCTAGAAAAAATTTCGATAATGATGAATGGTGATGATGATGACACTGCAGATTACTCCCCCCCCCCCCCCCACAGAAATGAAGCCAAAATGAAAAACAATGGGGGCAGGGGCATAAGTACAAGCAGGTTCGTGACGCAAGTCCAGGTTGTCAACGAGAAGGGACCATCAGGAACCAGTGGGTCTTTGGTGGTCGCCACTAGGAGAAACGCAGGGGACGGAGATGAAAGAGCCGGGCCGCTCAGGTCATAGACACGTGTGACCCAGGACGACTGGTTGGGAGAATTTGAGAGCGAATACGGCGGTTCGAGCGGACGCGGCTGACAAAGGTGCCCCCATCTAGAGCCGTGGGAAGGAGCTGAAGAACCCGTGTCGGTGATGTGGGCAAAGCGGTCTGATGGGTCAAAGCGGAGCCAAGATGCCCGAGGAATGATATCGAATGGTCGCGGCGGAGTCTCCGACAATGCACATGATGCCGACAAGGCTGTCGACAAAGAGCAGTTGGCTGGCTGTGCTGATGCGGACGCAACCATCAACGAAACACCGACCTAAGCATTACAGAGCGCCTGCCATGCCGGCGCAGGTGGCCGAGTCGACGGACGTAGAAACGCCGTGCTCGAAGAAGCGCACGAGGGTCGCGGCAGGCAAACAGGTCCACAGAGACTGGTCGGCCGATGCGCCACAGAGAGGTAGCGGACGCCCGAGCCGTGGCGAGGGGCACGTCTGAATTCAAAGTGCATTATTTCGATGTCGTGTCACACTTCAAGGACTCCGGAGGGCGGTCATGAGATCCAGTAGGCGTGGGCTTTACTGGAAGGTCGGCTGGCGTACCCGTGCTCGTCGAGGCAGCCTGGTGGTTGTCCGCCTGCACGGCCGCCTGGATCGGGGCGCGCGGCGGTTGCTTCGGCTGTCTCATTCGGCGCGCGCGCTTTTGAAAAAATGCAATCGAGGTAGTATGGCCGCGTGCCGCGACGCGGCACTGTTCTCCCACTCCCTTGCGGACGACGCTGCACTGGCGGCGTCGTAGACAGCCGCAGACGTGCTTGGAGAAATGCGAATTGGACATCATGCGCGTGGTGACTGGAATCATGGTACGCTGTTATGTTTTCTAAATCGGTCTTTACACAGAGTGCAGTTCACTGTAGCATATTACGCTCAAGATAGAGCCAAGCAGCGTGCTTAGGGGACTTCGTTTGCATTGCGCGTTCAAATGCCATGACACATTGTTGTGCCGAGTGCGCGATTTGACGTGCTTCTTATTCTTTGTTTTGGTGGCCGTTTCTCGCACGGCCGCCTGTATCGACCCGCGCCATGCTTTTTTTTTTTTTTTTAATGGAAATGCATTTCGTCATCGTCAACACTGCATAGCTATGTTCTGCGGTCAAGCGCTGTCTTGAGAGCAACACGTTGTTGGAAAACTAAATTGCGATAATGCTAATGTTGTTGTTTTCACCTTGCCGATGATAGGCAACATTTTTTTTTTTTTGGACATGTCTCTTTGCATTCTGAAGTTCCCACGATATGACAGTGATGCGAATGCGACATTTCCACTTAAGCGCAGGCTGCATGTAGGCGAATTTGAACGCGGAAGCGATGAGCGACGCTTCGAACTAATCTACCAATTCGAACTAATCTACCGGTTCTTTGGCTGAACGGCTGCTGATATGGCTTTCTGCGACTTGCATACATGTTTTCATATGCATTTTCATGTTGTCATACCACACTGACTTCAGGCAAATAATTTGTTTTTTGGTCTGCTTTGAGATTCTGTGTGTGATTTACCGTCTTTTTCAGAAACATGCCGTACTGCTGCGTGCCGCACTGCAAGTCAAGCACCAGGAAAAAGCTTGGTGTAAGCTTCCACGAGTTTCCTGCAGACCAGGCTATTCAGCAAAAGTGGCTTAAAGCCATATCCAGGAAAGATTTCATTCCAAACGACAAGTCCGCCAGTAGCGTCGTCTGCTCATTGCATTTTGTGGGCGATGACTACTCTTCTGATTCACCCAAGAGACGGCGTCTCAAGAGGACTGCTGTTCCCAGTGTCTTTCCTGGTTACCCCACCTATATGCAGCCGCAAATACCACAGAAGCGACGAAAGTTGGAGCGGGAACAACCACCGTGAGCAGTTCCTACCACCAAGGTCGTCCTTTGCACAGTGAACAGTGACAGTGTCGAAGATTGCACACCAAGTGGCCGTGAAGAAAGCCACCAGCTGGTTCCAACATCTGTGATCTGCCTACCCACGAGTTCTGGAACCTTGCTGGAGTCTGAAACTACTCATGACATACAGGCTATCCCCCCAAAATATTGAGAATAGGCACCCAGTGAATTCAACAGGATACACAACTCAAACTACAGACGAAATCGTCCCATGTCGGCTTTTCGACGTGTGAAAAATAAATAAATAAACTAAACTATTCTATGCTATACTATAAACTATTCTATTTTAAATAAACTATTCTATGCATCGTGAACGTGTAATGCTTGCAAATCCTCTTGAACACAAACATGGCAAGTACAAAATAAGACAATCATCATGGCATTCCTTCTATAGAAGGAATGCCAATGCGCGAGCTTTACGTGCCATAGCGCACTCGAAGCTGCTAGCGCACTCGAGCACTATTATTACGACAGGGACTCGCGCAGACACACACAAAAATAAAGAATATAGCGATAGCCGCTGTCCATTCTTTTATGTGCGTTTTGTGAGGGTGGGGGAGGTGGTATGCCAACCCACGGTTACTATACAGCGATATTTTCAAGGCGCTGCAAACCTTTCCACATAGACAGCAAAGGAATGGAGGAGTAGTAAGTACGCGCCGCGGTGTGGCAAAAGCAGCGGCCACGCCCCTTTCTGCAATTACGCCTCCTCCGTCCAAATGGAACGGCCGGAGCAACACTGCCGCGCGCCCCGATCCAGGCGGCCGAGCCGCCTGTATGGGTGGTACACAAGGTGCGGCCTGTTGTGTCATAGCCGAACCAGGCACATCTTCCTCAGGAGCATCGGTCGTAGTCGCAGTGTCTCGGAAGTTTGGCCACGCTTGATGGCTAGTGGCTTTAACTTCAGCTGCGGAAAACTGCGAGGGCGATGCTGGTCGCTGCTGGCAGGACACCCAGAGCGTTGGGGTTGGTAGAGAGTCGCCCTTCGACATTGGGGATGATGAAGGCTCCACGACCGAGAGGTGAACAGTGGGTGCAAGGATGTCTGCGCCAGACTCCGAGGCTTGCGGCAAGGTAGCTGTTGTGAAGTCGGGTGAGGACACGGTGTCGCGTGCCGGAGCTGCGTACACGAGCTCCGTGGGAATGCACTTCTCATGGGGAGGTCAGTAGCAGTGGGGGCGTCGTCTACCTCGTGGTCGTGCTTAGGTGCTGGATTGGATGTTCCTGCGACCGGATCAGAAGTATAAGTAGTCGTAGACGAGGAAGTGAGGTCTTTGTCAAGGTACGACTGCGGGCCGTCTCATACCGCTCGCTGGGGCAGAGGGGAAACCTGGAACTCGCGGCTCCCCGGAAGCGGGCGGTAGCTTTCACCGTAGCAGGCGAGCACCGCAGCACTGAGGTCGTCGAAGGGTCACGGGCTGGATGATGATGATGATGATGATATATGTTGTTTAATGGCGCAAGGGCCATTGATGGCCAAAGAGCGCCAGGAAATGATATCGGATGAGAGCAATGGTTATGTTAAATGGCTGTAAAAGGGCCTAAGATTCTGCGCTCTAAAGGTGCGTAAGACATATCTTTATTAAAATCATGAAAGTGAAGTGAAGCATGCCTGATGAGAATGAGTCTTAAGTTATGATGACACCATAGAATAGGAGTGTTATATTAGCACCGATACCTCGCCGGCGCCCTTGGTCCCAAGGGATGGGAGACAGGTGCTCTCTTTGGGTGTAGCATCCGCAGCACCAGCGTCGTTTCAGAGGCCTTGCTACCGATCACTTGAGTAGATAACATGGAAAGTATTTACGTCCTTTAAGAATGCATTCAATGCATTATATTTAAAAAGAGGTTCGCGACCAATAAACATAGCTGAGTGAAGGGGTATGTGTTCCTTGTACGCTAGTGAAAAATGTTTTTTCCTGTAAGCCTCTAGCTCAGAGCATTCAAGGAGTATGTGAAGTACCGTAAGTGGACGGCCACATCTGTGACAGCTGGGTGGGTCACCACCAGACAAAAGGTGTGTGTGTGTGCTGTGTGTGTGTCCTATTCTAAGCCGAGAGAGACTGACCTCTGTACGGCGTGTTTTCGACGTGGGTGGCCAGTTACCGAGGTATGGTTTAAGCAAGTGTAACTTGTTATGAGTTTGTTGATCCCATAACTTCTGCCAGTAAGCCCTTAGCTTTTTCCGTATGTTTGGTTTTAGATCCATTATAGGGACAGCAACTGAAGAGTTGGCAGAGCTTCCGTTAATTGACGTGGCGAGCTGGTCGGCCAACACATTTCCTTCGATCTCGCGATGTCCTGGCACCCAGCACACGACGATATGTTACTTGGAAGTATAGGCCGCGCACAGTATTGAATAGAGGGATATAATTATAGGGTTTCTCTGTTTTCTAAGATTTTTCAACGCTTTTACGACACTCAGGGAGTCTGTGTATATAACTACCCTTGGCGTATTCAATTCTTTGATGTGTTTAACGGCTACGAATAACGCGTAAGCCTCGGCTGTAAAAATGCTTGTGCTGGTGGACAGAACGCCCGCATCCGAGAAGGATGGGCCGACCGCCGCATAGGACACACCAGTATGGAACTTGGATACATCAGTATAATATTCTGGACAGTCATATTTATTTTGCAGCTCTAAGAAATACATCCGAATGTGTATATGGGAGGCATGCTTTGTGACAGCTAGTAAAGATGTGTCACAGTCTATAACCTGCCACTGCCATGGCGAGAGTCGCAGAGCGGGGGGGCTGAGGTGGTATTCAAGCAGTGGGACATCTGTTTCTTCAGCCAGGTCTCTAACACGCAGCGAGAAAGGGCGTGCCATTGCGGGCCGATTGCAAAAAAGTAGAGAGCTGGACAGGTCGCTGATGGTGGAATATGCAGGTTGCTCACTGTTCGTATTTACTTTAAGGAAATATATGAAGGAAGAATATGTTCTCTGCAGATGGAGTGACCACTCGTCCGATTCTACATAAAGGCTTTCAACTGGGCTTGTTCTAAAGGCGCCTGTGCACAGGTGGATGCCTTGATGATGAACAGGGTCCAACATTTTCAGAGCGCTTGGCGTGGCAGAGTGATAGACTATTGCCCCATACTCAAGACGCGAGCGTATAGGGCTTCTATACAGATTCATGAGGCACTTTCTGTCGCTGCCCCACGTTGTTCGTGACAGCACCTTTAGGATATTCATTGTTTTCAAGCATTTATTTTTAAGATGTTTTATGTGCGGTACAAAGGTTAACTTCGCATCTAAAATTATACCTAGGAACTTATGTTCTGTGTTTATGGGTAGACGCTCACCCTTAACGACCAGTTCAGGATCAGGGTGCAAGCCTCTTTTTCATGAAAAAAGGACACAGGTGCTTTTCTGTGGGTTCAGTTTGAACCCGTTTTCATCAGCCCATTTGGATACCTTGTTAAGGGCGAGCCGAACCTGTCGCTCACAGATCCCAAGAGAACACGATTGAAAACCTATCTGCACATCGTCGACATATGTTGAATAAAAGATATTACGTGGGATGTACAGACGGAGAGAATTTATTTTTATAATAAAGAGCGTACAGCTGAGCACCCCACCCTGTGGCACTCCGGTTTCCTGTACATATGTTCGGGACAGAACATTGCTCACTCTAACGTGGAAGGTACGATCAGCCGGATAGCTTTCAATGACACTGAACATATTACCGTGTATACCTATGTGTGAGAGGTCTCTCAATATTCCAAACCTCCACAGTAGTATCGTAGGCCTTCTCTATGTCGAGGAACACAGATAAGAAAAACTGATTATGAACAAAAGCCTCACGTATGTGTGCCTCGATACCTATAAGATGGTCAATGGTAGATCGGCCCTCTCAAAACCCGCACTGGTATGGGTCGAGCAATTTGTTTGTTTCTAAGTAGTGGAGTAAGCGGCAATTAATCATTTTTTCAAATAGTTTGCAGAGGCAGCTTGTTAACGCTATAGGTCTGTAACTTGATACAGTAGAGGGATCCTTTCCCTGCTTCAAAATTTGAATTATAACAGCCTCCTTCCAGGAGGAGGGGATCACACCTGAAAACCATATGCGATTAGAAAGACAGAGGAGGGTTTCTTTAGTTTCGGAGGGTAGTTCCTTCAGCATCACGTACATTACATTGTCAGAACCTGGGGTAGATGTATTACAGCAGCTGAGTGCTGTTCGCAGTTCTGCTAAGCAGAATGGTTGATTATATGCCTCATTTCTTGTGGATTTTCTTTCTAACTTTTGTTTTTCTATTCGTGCCTTGTAATTCTGAAAGTATTCGGAGTAGTGTGAGGAGCTCGATATGTGTTCGAATTGTGTGCCAAGAAAGTTGGCTTGATCCTCCAAGCTTTCCCCGAGGCTATTTACTAGTGGAAGGGAATACGTTTGTTGGCCCTTAATTTTCTTTACCTTATTCCACACTTTTCCCTCATCTGTGTACGACTTGATACTCGATATAAACTTTGTCCAGCTCTCTCGTCTAGCTTGTTGACGTGTTCTCCTTGCCTGCGATTTGACCCGCTTGAAATTTTTTAGGTTTTCTGCTGTAGGGGAATCGCAAAGCAACGCCCATGCTTTGTTCTGAGTGGTCCGTGCTTTCCTGCATGCGTCGTTCCACCATGGGACTCGCCGTTTGATATCTGGGGTTTAACGTCCCAAAACCACCATATGATTATGAGAGACGCCGTAGTGGAGGGCTCCGGAAATTTCGACCACCTGGGGTTCTTTAACGTGCACCCAAATCTGAGCACACGAGCCTACAACATTTCCGCCTCCATCGGAAATGCAGCCGCCGCAGCCGGGATTCGAACCCGCGACCTGCGGGTCAGCAGCCGAGTACCTTAGCCACTAGACCACCGCGGCGGGGCGGACTCGCCGTTTAGATGACATGCCGCTCGTTCTGGCAATACATTTAGATGCGGCATCAAGTATAAAAGCTGTAAAATACGCGACA